GGTTTTAGGATTTAGGGTTTTAGGGATTTAGGGTTTAGGATTTAGGGTTTTAGGGTTTTAGGGTTTTAGGTTTAGGATTTAGGGTTTTAGGGTTTAGGGTTTAGGGGTAAGGGTTTCGGTTTTTGGGTTTAGGGTTACCCCCACGAAAAAAGTTATTGTTATTATCATGCCTATTGCTAAGTGTTATTATTCCTGTTCATCTTATTAGAACCATTGTCATTGTTATGATAAACAGAGATATAAGGCCATTTTTATTACCAGGGTTACTATACTTAATAGGGTTAAGATGCTGTAAGGGCTCTGGAAGGCTTACCATCATAAACTTATTATTCAAGGTTTAGCGTTTAGGGTATTATCAGGGTTACGGCTTGCAGCTCGGGATCTATAAAGGTTGCGATCAGGGTTTCCGTTAATTAAAATCCACGAAAAGGGTCAGCATAGAGGCTCTCTGAGGGCTTACTGTAGGGTTTACCCAGCGTGGGACGTCCATAGCCCTAAGCCCTAAACGCTAAAGCCCAAACCCTGAACCCTGAAGCCTTAAACCCTAAACCCTAAACCCTGAACCCTGAAGCCTTAAACCCTAAGCCCTGAACCCTGAAGCCTTAAAATAAGCCCTAAACCCTAAACATGAAACCTTAAACCCTAAGAGCAGGTTGTGGCGGGCGGACTCCGCTGCCAAGGGCACCAAGCGCGATCGGGAAGGCGGGAGCATGCAGGAGCCCAGGTGCCGGAAGTTGATACTATATAGTACGGGTTTGGGGTTTTAGGGTTTAGGGTTTAGGGTTTAGGGTTTAGGGTTTAGGGTTTAGGGTTTAGGGTTTTAGGGTTTAGGGTCTAGGGTTTAGGGTTTAGGGTTTAGGGTTCGGCTGATGGACAAAATCCTGCATGACCCAAGTGTAGTATTAGCACCATGGTTCCCATCGTATAGGTATATAGGGTCATGCAGGGTTTTGTCCATCAGTAGTAGCTCTTGTTCAGTGCATAATCTGACGAATATTAGCAATAGTAAAGATAGCAACAGTAATGATCATATTGATACTCACAACACGATTGTTAATGGTAATAGTGATAGTTGCAATAGTGATGATGATAATAGTAATAAGAATAATCATGCTGATAATATGAATGCCAATGCCAAGACTACCCTCAACCCTAAACCCTCAACCCTACAGTAAACCCTAAAGCCCAAACCCCAAACCCTACACCCTAAACCATAAAACCCTAAACCCTAAATCCTAAACCCTAAACCCCTAAAGCCCTAGAACCCTAAATCCTAAAGCCCTAAAACCATAAAACCCTAAAGCCCTAAATCCTAAACCCTAAAACCCTAAAACCCTAAATCCTAAACCCTAAGCCAGAAACTCTAGACCCTAAGACCCCGAAGCTTGTTTAAAGGCGAGGTGATCGACGTCTCGGATGGCTGAGCCAGGAGGGCTGTGAGTTGCTGGCGGCGAAGCGTCCCAAAAAGGAAGCAGTGGGGGGGTTTAGGGGTTTAGGGGTTTAGGGTTTAGGGGGTTTAGGGGGTTTAGGGGGTTTGGGGTTTAGGGCCTAGGGGTTTGGGGTTTAGGGTTTAGGGGTTTAGGGTTTAGGGGTTTAGGGTTTAGGGTTTTGGGGTTTAGGGGTTCAGGGGTTTAGGGTTTGGTTTGGGGTTTAGGGGTTTAGGGGGTTTGGGGTTTAGGGGGTTGTTTAGGGTTTACGGGTTTAGGGTTTAGGGGTTTAGGGGGTTAGGGAGGGGTTTAGGGTTTGGGGTTTAGGGGTTTAGGGGTTCAGGGTTTAGGGGTTTAGGGTTTAGGGTTCTCATTAGGAAATGGGGGAATTGCTTTGGCTTTCTGTCTACTGTTGATGAGATATATCCTGGATTACCTTAAGTTCCCTAGACTATGGGAAGTATGGTATATTCCTTATTATGGCTAGTGCAGGATTTATATCATCAACTGTAGTCCTCAGTAGGGAATGGGGGAACGGGTTACCCATTTGAGAGGAGTAGCTGTGCGGTTCGCTTTGTGCCATGGTTTCCCCATGTGTCCATGTGCGGCTCACCCTAAACACTAAACCCTAAACTCTAAATCCTAAATCCAAAACCCAAAACCCTAAACCCCTAAACCCTGAACCCTAAACCCTAAACCCTAAACCCAAAGCTCCTTTTGCTGGAGCTAAGGTCCTGGGCAGATCCCTGCTTGAGGCCATGGGAGCCTCTGTACGCACCGAAGGGTTTGGGTTTTAGGGTTTTGGGGTTGTAGAGTTTTGTGGTATGGGTTTAGGGTATGGGTTTCGGGTTTAGGATTTAGGGTTTTAGGGTTTAGGGTTTTAGGGTTTAGGGGTTTAGGGGTTTAGAGGTTTAGGATTTAACGTTTAGGGGCGTGCACTCCGAAGAAGGTTCGGACAAGCGTGTGTGGCTTGATTGTCAGGTTCTTGAGCAGCATCCAAACGACCTGGTCATGGAAATTTGGGAAGAGATCATGACGTTCAGGTGGGATTCCTGACCTGCACCGCTTCACCGCTTGTCAGTCGCTGCCTTGCGAAGGGAGTCGCAGATGAAGCAGAAAGCAGATTTACAGAAGCACTTGACGTGGCTTGGTCGGATCATCGGACGTCGGGAGTGAGCCATGAGCAGTGATTGAACAGTTTGGACCCAAAACCCTAAACCCTAAACCCTAAACCCTAAACCCTAAACCCAGGCACAAGACAGTGGATATTGACTTCATGTTCTTCAAGCTGCCAGCGATGTCAGTGAAGGTCTGGATCGTTGTTGATGCTTCAAAGCTGCTTACAGAGACTCGGGTGGTTGTCAAAATTATGGTCCCTTTTTGGGTCCTTATTATAATACGGCACCTACTATTTTAGGGTACCCCAAACGGCCCTAAACCCTAAACCCTAAACCCTAAACCCTAAACCCTAAGGGACCATAATTTTGACAACTACCCACTTGCTGAACTTTTCTGTTGAAGACCAGAGCCTGCTGCCATAAGGGCTCGACATTCACTTCACCATACTTCAGGCATGTAGCCCTAGATTCAAGCCATATTAGGGTTTAGGGTTTAGGGTTTAGGGTTTAGGGTTTAGGGTTTAGGGTCCCTCGAACTTGGTGCCCCGAGTCGGCCCCACTGTGGTAGCGCTGCTTTGGCCACTCGTCCGCGACGGGGACGACAGTATCTGCGGCCGGGAGGCTTCGAGCTCGCTTTGAAAGTGTTGAAACGCATGTGTATATATATATATATATCTCTACATCTCTCTCTCTCTCTCTCTTTCTATATATATATATATATGTATATCTCTACATCTCTCTCTCTCTCTATATATATATCTTTATATATATATAATATATATATACGTGTATATATATATATATATGTATCTATCTATCTATCTATCTATCTATCTATCTATCTATCTATCTACATATATATATATATATATATATGGAGAGGCCTTAGTAATTGCATAGAATTACTATTTTGGGGGCTCCTTATCAGAGTTATAGTATTAAACACGCCAAAACCCTATTCTAATTATGAAGGCCCCTACATTATCAGTGTCTTTTTCCACCAAAGTCTGTGTGTCTGTGTGCCCTGTGCTACTGAAGCCATGCGCAGGGACTGGCAGGTTAACGCCAAGCAGTCTTCCCACAATGGGGTATTTCAAGTACCAGGACCCGATTGGTTTAGGGTTTAGGGTTCAGGGTTTAGGGTGTACGGTTGCCACATGAAGTTTCGACGTGAGCTATGCCTAAAAGAAACAGAAGATGCAACAGCCTTGGGCACGGCTCAAACTCAGGTTTCATGGGAGTGACATGCCTGTTTCCGGCAGAAGAAGTTTTCGCACAGGCGGTAGAAAGATTTCAGCTGTTGTTTCATGTCAGTCCCTGGCTTCAGTTTTGCGAGTCTTGCTTAGACCTTCTGTCTACTGTTGATGATATAAATCCTGCATCACCTTAAGGACCCTAAACTCTGGGAGTCATATATGGTATATTTCCTATGATGGGTAATGCAGGATTTATATCATCCACCGTAGAAACTCAGCGTTCGGGGCTCTGACACTGCAACATGTGATTGACACGCGTCATGTCGCTGGTATGTACCGCAGCTTCATATAGAGGCCTAAACAGTTACCCATATTATTTTGGGGACTCCTTATTAGAATAATTATAGTATAATGGGCCCGAAAACCCTGTTCCTGCCCCAGTGGCCATGATTGCTTTTACGCGCAAGTGTCCCTAAACCCTAAACCCTAAACCGTGATCATCAGCGTGGTGGTTGTTCTTGTGGGTAGCATCTCCATTACTACATAGCGGATCTGTAGGTTGGGGGTCAATCAATTCGATGGTGCTGACTCTAGTGACTCTAGTGGCTATGTTTGCTATTTCCAATCAGTATCGGTGTATCAGAACATGTTGAGTAGAAGAAACCAGAAAGTTATGTCTTGTTTCACACCCAAGCCTGCCGAGGTTGTCGAATCATGCTACTGCGATGCTGCTGCTTCTGCTGCTGTCGGTCATGTTGCAGGTGATGCTGGCAGTAGTGACTTTACTATATGGTACCACACTATATTAAGCTGTTCTATACTATATTCTACTATACTACGCATTGCTCTATACTCCGCATAAGTCTGGCCAGAAGACTTGGGCGCAAGTTTTGGGGCTGTAATCACCGTTCACGTTTCGGAAAAGTCAGATCCTCACTGACAGAAGGCGTTCAGGGCAAACTACTAACTACTTGCCAGTAGTATTCCATACGGGGTCCATTTTTCTACAGTGAGCGCCTGGTCCGATGATGTCAGTCATTTCAAGAGATGCATCTAGGGAACCCTAAACCCAGGGTTTAGGGTTTAGGGTTTAGGGTTTAGGGTTTAGGGTTTAGGGTTTAGGGTTTAGGGTTTAGGGTTTAGGGCCTCCAGGTTGCTGAGGTTTGGGACTTGGGATAGTCTGGCTTGCGGCTAGCGGTCCATAGGGTTCGTTTGTGTTTGGCGGGGCCGCTTGCGCTGTGCTGTGGTTGTCGGAGCTCAGGTTCAGGGTTGAATCCTTCTGTTTTCCTCGGTCCGACGGGTTTAGGGTTTAGGGTTTAGGGTTTAGCAACAAGAAGCCTAACAGTTTGTATCAGCCAGAGTCAGTTTCTGGCCCTAAGGGTCCAAGTACCTAATAATCATATACCCTCCCAAATATTAACCTAAATAACTACTATCCGCGACCAAAGTACCCTATTATTGGGTCCTTTGGACCCTTAGGGTGGTTCTTCATGTTCGCAGGAGTCACCAACAGATGGGTTGCCAGCTGGAGCGACAACCGTTATGATCAGGCCGCTCCTGCTGATCCTGGCTAGTACTGCTGTGGATGGACAAAATCCTGCATGACCTTATAATACCTAAACTATGGGATTTATGGTACTGTACTATATTTGGGTCATGCAGAATTTTGTCCATCAACAGTAGGGAGACCCCTCAAAGAGGGCCCTTCTTAACCCTACTTCTGGCTCTCTGAAAAGGGACCTTCTTGAGAGGGTCTCTATCCCCCTAATCCTAACCCTAAACCCTAAACCCTAAACCCTAAGCCCTCAACCCTAAACCCTCAACCCTAAACCCTAAACCCTAATCCTGACTCCCAGTTGAGAAGGTTGAGGGTGCAGGGTTGAAAGTTCAAGGTTCAAGGCTGGGATTTCCAAGTGTAGGGTTAAGGGTTTAGTGTTTGGGGCCCAAACCCTGAATCCTAAAAATCCCTAAACCCTAAACCCTAAACCCTCAGCCCTGAGACGTAAACCCAAAACCCTAAACCCTAAACCCTAAACCCTAAACCCTAACCCCTAGGCCCTAAAACCTGAACCTGGCTGCTTCTGGGTGCAGGGGTGTGGCCCGAAGTATGAGTCTCGATGCCTTCATCCGGCTGCCAGGGGCTCAGATTTGGGAAAATAGGGGACCCTAGTATACTACCCTAAATAGTAGGATCCTTATTACAAGGACACCAAAATAAGGTACACCAATATTCGAAAACTCCCATTTGGAGTTTACCTATAGCCTCTTTGGTAGTTCCTGTTTTTGGTTTAACGGTTTTGTATCTAGGATCTTTTCAGGTAACCGAAGGTAGCCCCAAAAAGGAACCACAACGGAGACTTTCGGTATTGGACCGTAGAGAGTCGCATCCTGATTCTAGTCTAAAGCACAGCAAGATTTCAAAAGAAACAGCTGTTGCACCCAGAGAACCCAATACCCCTTAATAAAGGAATAGACATTAAATCATAATATTAGGGCCCCTATGATTTAAGGTATATTCCTTAATTAAGGGGTATTGGGTTCTCTGGGCATGTGTCAAAAACTGCACACTGTGGAAGGGAAGTGTCCGAAGCAGAACACAACGCCTTCACAGTCCAAACGTACCCGGAGGCGGATGGTCATCGCAACTAGTAGTATGACTACGCTAGAGTTTCGTTTTGCAAGACGCGTCTTCGCACTAAAAGCCACATGCAACAAGGTGACCCTAAACCCTAAACCCTAAGCCCTAAACGCTAGTGACCCCTGCGAGCTCCCTGGTCCTTGTTGTTGCTTGCCCTGTCACCACCAAAAACCCTAAACCCACCGCGATCACAGCTGAACCTGCCAGAAGCTCCCCATCTATGGAATATCTGTTTTGGGTTTACGGTTTAGGCCAGTAGGGCTTCGGAGTGCCTTCCGAGATATACTATAACATACTATACTATGCTTTATTGTGCTACGATAGACGATATTCTACTATACCATACCAGAATAGACCGTAACATAGGAGAATATGTTAGAGTTCATGGTAATATACTATAACGTACTCTAAAATACTTTGATGTACTATAACCTACTATAGTATACTATACCCTAAACCCTAAACCCTCAACCCTCAACCCTTAACCCTAAACCCTAAACCCTAAGCCCTAAACCCTAAACCCTAAACCCCAAGCATCCTGGAGGGTGTAGGGTTGACCTTCCGATGGTTCTCCGGACCCAACACTGGAGGCAGCATTTCTGTCTGGTGCTTAGTAGGGAAGGGGGGAATGGGTTAGGGTTTAGGGTTTAGGGTTTAGGGTTTAGGGTTTAAGGTTTAGGGTTTAGGGGAATGGGTTATGGGGACTACTATAAGGGACCTTAAGGGACTATCTAGGGATCCTTTCCCACATTCCCTACAAAGCACCAGACAGCATTGAGGAGTGTCTCTTCACTTTCAAACCTGAAGCCCTAAACAAAACCCAAACCCTCAAGTTCAAGCCTAGATCCTAATGTTCAGCCACTGTTTACCATGGTATACCATAATGTACTACAACCTCTGGCAATCTATTTTAGTTGTGTGACCCTTAAACTCTAGACCGTTAACCCTGCGACCAGGCTTTTCATGATCACGAAGAACTTTGACCTCGTCTACGTGCCTGTGGGGAGTAAGACTTCGACGAACTTGGGACTGGCCTTCGTCACCTGGCAAGAAAATTTTCGGCCATTTAGGGTTTGAGGTAGGGTTTAGGGTTTGGGGTTTCGCAATTCTGGCCATATTCGGATTTAGGATATAGCAATTCTGGCCATTTGGGGGTTTACGGTTTAAGCAATTCTGGCCATTTTAAGCAATTCTGGTTATTTAGCGGTGTAGGGCTTAACAATTCTGGACATTTAGGGTTTTGGGTCTAGCACTTTTGGCCATTAACGGTGTAGGGTTTAGGGTTTCTGAATACGCATGGTTCTGCTTGGCTAGAACTGCAAGAATGCAAGGCTCCAAGCCCCAAACCCTGAACCCTAACAATCGTGAAGAATGAGTTCAAAAGGCAAGTGAGTTGGATGTAAACGTCTTGTCTGAAACAGACGCTCCTTAAGATTCTGGCTGACGGAAAAAGGCGTTCAACAGAAACCTAACCCTAAACCCGAAACCCTAAACCCTAAACCCTAAACCAAGGTCAACTATGTTGATGAGGAGTCGGCGAGGCGTGCCGACATCCCAGCGAAAGAGAGAGGGAGAGTGAGCGCATCCATGTTGGCATTACGGTGTATTTAAGTTTGTTGTGGCAGATGATGGTACATTATGGCGTATCATAGCACATACTTGCATATGAGGGTGTGCTATACATATTGTATATTATTGCATAATTTTATGTTATAGTATCATGTGACATAATACAGTGTATTCGAATATAATTATTACGGTGTACTATGGCGTGTCATATCCATTTCGGCCCAAGTGTGGCATCTCTGGTCTTGACGGGCTGTGCTGGTCAGCATAAAACACCGTAGTAGAGGTTTAGGGTTGAGGGTTTAGGGTTTAGGGTAGTGCTTTCCCTGGAAGGAACCCTTAAGGGGGTTACTATGGGGTTCTACGACAGGGTCCCCCTTTACAGGGTACTATGGGGGGTTCTAGGAACCCTTGAGACGGTTGATGATATAAATCCTGCATTGCCCATAATAAGGAATATACCATAGTTCCCATAGTTTAGGGTCCTTAAGGTAATGCATGATTTTCATATCATCAACAGTATCATGATATACTGGAACTTACCACAATCTGCCATGACATAACCCTAAACCCTAAACCCTAAACCCTAAACCCTAAACCCTTAACCCTTAACCCTTAACCCTAAACCCTAAACCCTAAACCCTAAACCCTAAACCGCAACCCAACTACTGGTATGGCTCTTCGGCAGACGTTCTCCTCCCAACGACACCGGATGTTAGACTTCTGTGTCTCATTTGGCGATAAGCCCATCCAGGATATTGTGGTAGATTACAAGAGGTTGTCGTACATTATAGTATGTTATAGTGCATTATGGTACGCTATAGTATATTACAGCATGTTTTAATGCCTTCTATCATAGTATGTCACTGTCAAAGTACGTTATAGCATGCTAAACCCTAAACATATTATGGTAAGTTCTTGTTGTACATGGTATATTACAGACCAGTATAGTACAGTGTATTATGGTATATTATCAAATCATTATAGTATGTTATAATACAATTTGGAGTGGTCTATGCAGTTCGGCAGCACGGGTGCTTTGAAGCCATATCAGCCATCGGGGTTAGGGTTGAGGGTTTAGGGTTGTAATTGCCTCATGCCATACCCACTTTGCATGCTCCTTCAGTGATTCCACCTGCACCCTCAGCTTCCACCTTTACGCCTTCAGCGCTACCTCTAAACCCTAAATCCAAAACCGTGCAAGCGGTTGAACCCCAAAGCCTCACGAGCGTAAAAGTCCTAAGACTCCAAAACTCCTAAACCCGAACACCTTCTAACACGCGAGTATTCAACAAAAGTGCAGGGACAAAGACACCTGCCCTTTGCCAGGATCGGCTTCAGCGCCCTTTGCAAGGTCCAGCGCGTCGGGTTCAGGGTTTGGGGCTTCCTGTGTCCTAAACCCTAAACCCTAAAGCGCGTCTGACTGCTCTTAGCATTATGATTTGGGGGTTTCCGAAAATAGGGGACCCTAATATAGTACCCTAAATAATAGGATCCTTATTAGACGGACCCCAAAATAAGGTATCCCAAATTTTCGGAAAGTCCCATTTGAGCTCTTCTGCTTCATGCCCTGGTTTTTATTGTCTTCCAGGCGAATTCTTTGTAGCAGCCTTGTGACTGTGATGCTGCTATCATTCTGATCATCTTTTTTGTTGTTGCCCTTTTCATTACTATAGTCTTGTCAGTATTGCCATGCTTACCGGTACTACTACTCGGCTTATGCGCATCATCATCGTCGTCATCATCATCATCAACATCATGATCAAGATCATCGTGGTCGTCGTCGTCATCATCGTCATCTGCCAACGATGAGGATTGCGACGTTAATAGCAGTAGTGATTATGATGATGATGGTGGTGGTGATGATGATGGTGACCTGGATAGAAGCAGTAATCATGTTGCTGAAAATGATGATGATGATGGTGATGATGATGATGCAATAACATTTAGCCGTTACCAGAGCAGCAACGAGAAAGACTACAACCTGAGCAATGATACTCAGAGTGCCGGGCAATCCCGAACGAGAAAAGATGACCATAAGCACCGCGACACCGATGATGATGATGATGATGATGATGAGGAGGTGGAGGATGGTGGTGATTATGATGGGATGATGATGGTGATGGTGATGTTGACGGTGATGGCCATGATGACGACTGTGATGAGGAAGATGATGAGGATGAGGGTGGAAATGAGGAGGAAGAGGAGGAAGAGGAGGAGGAGGACGACGACGATGTTGACGACGATAGTTATGACGATGGTGGCGACGATGATGAGGACAATAGTGACGACGATGGTGACGATGGCTCCCTCTGGGGTTCTTTCGACAATGAACGGTTTGTAGCTGGAAGAACATCCTGTATCAGAACGACTTTGGGTTTACCCTAAACCCTAAACCCTATACCCTAAACCCTAAACCCTTAAACCCTAAACCCTAAACCGTTTAGGGTTCCTCCCGCGACTTGCAGGGCTGTACAAGCACTGCCTTGAGGCTCGAGGGCCGCAACAATTTCGACTGGTGAAGTCCGCTTACGTGCAGGGCTTCTGTGGGGAGCTTAGCTCAGCCTGCGCATTTGAAGGTTCCCAGAGAGACCAAGCCCTTAAAGAAGGAATATGCTTTAAGCCTTAAGCTATAGGAGTCTCAAAATTATGATTTGATGTAGATTCCTTAATGAATATACTTTAAGCTATAGGAGCCTCAAGATTATGATTTCATGTAGATAGATTCCTTAAATCAAGGGCATCAAGCTTTCTGAGGCTTTTATTTTCAATCTAAGCCATCTGACCCTAGACCCTAAACCCCAAACCCCCAGACCGAAACACCAAACCCCTGCTTCGCGTCAGGTCCGAACCTCGCCTTCATTTTGGCATCCGGCAACGATATGGAGGCTGGACAATCCCAAGAGTCTTCTCTAGAGCTTGGGGTTTAGGTCTTAGGTCTTAAGTTTTACGGTTTAGGGTAAACCCTAGACCCGAAGCCCTTGAACGAGTCGGCCCCAACTGTAAAAGACAAAAACCCCCCAACCCGAGTACTTTGACGCCCCGAACCTCAAAATTCCAAGCCCTGCTGAAGCCCTAAACTCGACTCATCGGCCTTCTGGCAGAAAAGAGCGGGGTTTAGGGTTTGAGGGTTTAGGGTTTAGGGTTTAGGGTTTAGGGTTTAGAGTTTTGGGAACTCCAAAACCCTAAACCCGAAACATTCTATAGATCCCTCAAGGGATCGCCTTTTCGGATGCCGTCGGGGAGCCCTTACCAGGAACCCCTAAAGAGAGCCACAGACAGGAACCCTAAATCCTAAACCCTAAACCCTAAATCCCACAGGGAGCCCCGGACAGGTGTCGGCTGGCCATCACTAAACCCTAAACCCTAAACCCTAAACCCTAGACCTTAAACCCTAAACCCTAAAGGGAGCCCCAGACAGGTGTCGGCTGGCCATCATGATCTCGTGATGGCGATGTTTGACAACGGACGCCGAGTGAAGGAGGGCCTCATGGGGTCTCCTTTAGAGGTTTAGGGTTTAGGGGTTTAGGGTTTAGGGGTTAGGGTTTAGGGTTTAGGGTTTAGGGTTTAGGGTTTAGGGTTTAGGGGTTTAAGTCTATTAAACTGGTGAAACCAAAGAAAGAAGCTACAATGGAGACTATAGGTAGGGTCATGTAGGGTCTAGGGTTAAAGGGATCTATTCAGGCTTTGGGGTTTAGGGTTTCGGTTCTTCTAGGACATTTTCAGGTGGGTAGCTACCGTTATAGGAGCCTTGTAGAAAGTCTATACACGTTATAGAAGTCTTATAGAAGCCCTATATATCCTAAACTTCCCACCTGTAGTTTCCTTTAGTTAAGGGATCCTTTTTTGAAGGGTTCATTTTGGTGTTTCAGGGTTGAAGGGTACTATTAGGGGTACGAGAAGAGTACAAGGGTATGATAAGTGTTCTTTTTGGGCTGTGCATGAGTTTCTTTTTTGTTGAGGGGGGTTTGGGGTTTAGGGTTCAGGGGGTTGGGGGGCCAGGGTTTTAGGATTTCGCGGTTTTAGGGCCCAGAGCGCCGCCCCCAAACCTCCCTCAAGGGGAAAGGGGGGCGTGTTTGCTCTTTGCTTCCCTGCATAAAACGACCCTAAACCCTAAACCCTAAACCCTAAACCCCCAACCCCTAAACCCCTAAACCCCGAACCCTAAATCCTAAACCTCTAAACCCTAAAACCACGCTTCACAGCAAACCACCGCTGAGATGGATCGGCATCGGGTTGT